GTTTTAAACATGAGCTCTGAATTAAAAAACTTTAATATTGGTTTACTGAAAGCGTGTTTATTAGTGAATACCATTCCCACTGTTTTAGATACGGAAAATTTAAATCCTGTGTCGCAGGACCATTCTTCTAGTTGTTTTAGAAAATATTGTAAGTAATGCGACATAAGTGAAGAATCTTTGCCCTTGATATAAACCACCAAATCGTTTGCGTTAAGACGAGCTTTTAAAGGATTTTGTAAATTTTTAATTATATCATTTATCGCGATTAGAAATAATGTCGGACTAATTATAGAACCTCGAGGGGTTCCGTTTTCCTCAATATATTCTTCGGAATATGAATTTTGAACTCTGACTTGAAATACTCTTTGTCGTAAAAAGTTTTTAATAAATTTTAAAGAGTTCTCCCGGATATTGCACGAGTGCAGCTTATTTAAAATATTATATCTCCAGCACGTGTTAAATGCTTTATTTATATATAAAAATATTGCTATACAGTGTTGTCGCATCGCTAGTGCTTCCTGGATATCGCTTTCTAAATCTAGTATATTATCTATGCCTGATCGATTTTGTCTAAAACCATTTTGCTCATTCGTTAGTAGATTTGAACTTTCAAGTGTCCATGTGAGCCTTGTATTGATAATTTTTTCTAGTAATTTTCCCATGGAGCACGTCAAACTTATGGGTCTGTAAGATTCAGGGTTTAGACGGGGACATTGAGGTTTAAGAAATGAAAGAACAATAGCCTTAGTCCAAATTGTGGGGTACTGGTGTTGCTGTCATATGAAATTAAATATCTGTAGCATAACCTTTATGGCTGAATTAGGAAGTTGTTTTAAAAAAATAGATGGTATATCATCTGGTCCAGGACTAGTATCCTTTAAATCTCTAAGTGAATCATTTAATTCATGAAGTGTTAGAGGAAGATTTAGAGGATTATCGTTAATTTCATATGAGAATTTGCTATAATTTTCGGATTGTATTTTGTTTTCAAGAAAAACAGGGTCGTAGTTTTCATTGGAAAATATTTTTGTATAATTTTGTGCCAATATGTTGGCAATTTCTTTTGGTGATGTAATTATTTGGTTATTTACTTTTAGGCTCGATACTGTGGGTGGCTGTTGAAAATTTTGCAAATTTTTTTCCAAACTTCACTTATTGACGTGGAGCTGTTTATATTTGAATTATATTTCATCCAACTAGATTTTTTTGCTTGTTTAATTAATAGTTGAGTTTTAGACTTATGTCTTTTATATTCAATCTTATTCTGTAGGTTTTTATGTTTTTTATACCTATTAAAAGCTTTTTACTTGCCCTAATCGCTTCATTACAGTCAGGATTCCACCATGGTACAGGTGTATGATTTTTTGGCGGTTTTGTTTTACCTATAAACTGTTTTGCACTTTGTATAACGATATTATTGAAGTCTTCTAGAGTATCATTGATGTTATTTTTTACTATGAAATTTTTCATAGATTTATCGATGAAATCTTCAAATTCTGTCTAGTTTGCTAATTCAGTTTTCCATTTGGGAAAAAACTCGTGAGTAGATTGTTGTCTAGTACAATTTCGGATAATAATGGGATGATGGTCGCTACTATATGTATATGGTAGGACTTCCAATAGTAGGAAGTTATTAATAAAAAAATACCAGTATCAGTAAGTCAGTAACATATAGAGGATACATCATTTATGTTTTTTAAATAACAAAACATATAAAATCAAACTTTTGATGTTTATTGAAGGTAAACTAAATGCACGAACAAATATTTACCATGTCGGGATAGTATTATGAGGTTTTGTTCCTGGTTTTTCCCTCATAATTTACTATGGAATCACTAACAGGAGAATTTTACTTTTAATTTAAAAATTAATTTTTTTTTATTTAATAAAACTCCAACAGGAATCTTATGATTATTGTTATATGATCATTCACTATGATTAATAAGCAAGTTAGTTTTATATACAAATATTACAAGAAACTTATCTAAGGTTATATTCAGCAATATTCCTTAGGGTCTAATACATTATAATACGGAGTACATTATAGTATGGAGGTCTCGATGAAGATCTCAGTTTCTGAAGGACCATGGAGCGATAACAATATTCCTTAATACTTTATTCTGATATCGTTGTCTATGTTGGATGTTACTTTCTTTTGTACAGCCCCATAGCTGTATTCCGTATGTCCATATCGGTTTAAGGACTTGCTTATACAATAACAATTTGTTATAAGTAGACAGAGTGGATTTTTCCCCATCAACCAGTACATCTTTCTAAACTTAATTTTTAATTTCTCCTGTTATTTCTTAATATGTGCTTTCCAACGTAGCTTGGAATCTAATGTCATACCCAAATATTTTGCCGTATTTGCATAAGGTATTTGGTTTCTATTTATACTAACTGGGATAATTTTAAACAGATTTTGTTTCATTCAATTTGATACTCCATCGGCTGGTCCAGATGTTAATTTGTTCAACAGAGTTCTGTAGCATGGTAGCTGCATCATTGCGGTTTTGTCTGTCTGACTGCTAGTATACATGTGTCGTCTGCAAATTTCTCAATTGTGATAGGTTCTAATGATTAAATATCGCTGGTATAGAGCAGGTATAGCACTAGCCCAAGGACACTTCCTTGTGGAACTCCAGCTTCAACTTGTCATAATTCTGAATATGCTTCCTCATATTCAACTTGAAAGTATCTGTCGGATATATATGATTCTAGTAGTTCAGAATATTGTTTTGGTTAGTAGCATCTCATTTTATGATATCATCCGTCACACCTTGTCAAAAGCCTGCGCTACATCGAGGAAAATTGAGGAACAAACTTTTTCTTCTTCTAGAGCTTTTTCTACTATATCTGTTATTCTATTCACCTGATCGATTCACCCTATCGTTGAGTGGCTTGCTCTAAAACCAAACTGATGATTAGGAATTAGAGTTTTTTCCTCTATAATCAGTTTTAGTCTCTTCAAGAGTAATTTTTCGTATAATTTAGATATGACAGGTAACAGTGAAATAGGCCTATATGAAGAAGCTTCTTGTGGAGATTTCCTGGGTTTTAGTGTCATTATAATTTCTGTCACCTTCCATATCTTTAGTACGTATCTCAGCCTAAAGGAAGCATTTATAAGATGTGTTAATTTTATAGTAGCTTTCCTTGGAAGTTGCTTTAACACTTTCCGAGTAATTCGATTAAATCCAGGACCTTTCTTTGGATTTATATTTTCTTTTATTTTCAAATATACTTCTTTTGGAGTTAAAGGCTAATCTCGATTTCATCTTAATCAGAGAGCTTCCAGTTTATTATTTCTTGTTCTTCATTTGCTTGAAACTAGTTGGTCAGCAAACCTGTTGACCTTTTGTATATTGCGTCTTGCCTAGCTATCATTAGTATTTCGAATTGGTGGATTCTATAAGATTGGCCTTTTTAATCGTTTAGTAGCCTTCCACATAGAGTGATCAGTAGCGCTATGATTTGATAGTTCACTTTGGTAGATGTTAACCGATTCGTTTTTAATTTTTTTAATTTCTCTTTTTAATTTTTGTGGCATTATTTAATCTAGTTTTATCAACTGGTGCTCTAGACTGATGCCACTTGCGTCTAAGTTTTCTTTTTTCGGTTATCATTTCTCTGATTTCTTTCGGGTAGTTATTTCTTTTTATTCTTTCGACACTGTTCGTGCTGTTGTTCCAAGCAGCTTGTTGTATATTTTTATCGAGTAATTCTACTTCTGCTTCCAGTTGATCAATTGTTCTTAATGAAACAGAGAAGTTAATCTTCTCTTCAAGGTCTATCTGGAAACTTTTCCAATCAGTATTTTTGTTAACAAGTCTATGTGAGCTTTCTTTTTTGATCAGTGTCACTGAGTGTGAGAATAATTGGCGAATGGTCCGAGTTCAAATCCAATGCTTCTTCTATCTCTATGTAATTTGTAGAAATATTTCTGACTAGAAAGAAGTCGATAAGGTCTGGAATTTTATTTGTGTCAGTAGTCCAGTATGTTAGATTTTCCATTGATACTGCTTCGCATTTTATGTATTTCATTGCTTTTAAAAGTTCCTTCCCTTTGGTTGTAGTCAGTCGTGACCTTCAATGCGTATATTTTGCATTGAAGTCTCCCCAAGGATAAATCTATGTCCTTGACTTGTCAGGAAATCTACATATTGATTTTTCTTGATGGCATGTCTTGGCGGACTGTAAACTGCTGTGACGACTACCTCATAGTTTTTACATTTAATTTTTACTGATGTGGCCTAAAACTCTTTTGTTCTGTATGAAATTTCCTGATAGCGCATAATATTTGCCTTGATTATTACTGCACTACTTCTTTGGCTGCACTATCAGAGTGAGTAGTATGATAAGTTTTTTAGCCCCTAAATCTAATATATGACTCATTCGTAAAATCGGTTTCAGAAATGAGGTATATGTCTATTTTTTCTATATCTAGTATTGCTTGTAGTTTTTGCTGATGTTTCAAGATGCCATATATATTCCATTCTATTATTCGTAAACTACCCGCCATTACCAAGTCTTTTAGGTATAGCTCCTTTAGTGCTATATTCTATTACGGTTCTACGCTCGTCCAGGTTAGTTAATCTCTCTAATATTTTTTGTAGTGTTTAATCTTTTTTCAAATCTTTTTAACTACCATAAATTTCTTCGTTACTTTTATCAGCTACTACCATGCTATAAGTTCTTGTTTTTAAAAATTAATGTACAGAAAATTGCTTTAACATAATATCTTAGTAAACCCCCATTACCATTAAAAAAGTGACTATTACCGTGGCTTAGGTACAAAGTAAAATACTCAAAAATATGGGAAAATAAGTTTTCCTTTAATTAAAAATTGATATGTTTCTGGGTTTTTCAAAAATGTTGTCGTAGTTCCCAAAAATTCCGTTCCGTTTGTGTTCGGCCACCCTGGATATAAATTGTAATTTTAGATATGTAGGTAAAAAATCAAGGTTTTTGTTCAAATAACAAAACAAGCTAATTTATCTATTTTTTAATAGAAAGGATTTTAGGGGTCGAAGTAGAAATGCCAAGTGTAACGTACAAAATATAAAGAATATAACATTACATTATAGTACTTTGATTCAGTTTATCTACGATACAAAAAATCTACAGATGGGCCCCGCTATCCTACTGCAACTCTCGAAATCGTCAAAATTATTTCTGGTGCGCTGGCAGTTAGTATAATAAAGTACTTCTACACATTTATTAGCAGATACGTCCCATTTCCAAACATTAATGGCTTCTTTTTCTGGTGCAGCAGAATAAGGACAAATTCCTTGCGGTTCTAAATAGCAATCTGTAACAAGTAAGAAGGTATCTCTTTTAAATCTGATAAACCATATTTTAAATATTTAAGATAATGCTTCACTAATTTTTTAAATTTTAAAAGTGAAGTGTGTAGATGCAAAATTCACTTTCTCCAAATTTCCATATTTACGGTTATGTATGTCAATGAATTCGTCTTTTAAATTCAAACCGTTATTATATCTTGAACCAAAACTCACATTTTAATATCAAAAACCATATTGAAAATGAAGTTCTGAAACATAAGTCACATTATCCAACACATGATTTGCAACAAAACTAACATTCTCCAATTCGACCAATAAGACTGCTTAGGGTGCATCACGTGATTGTCGTCACTCTGATGATGTTATTGTCAACGGTTTTTTTAACCTCACCTCACTTGTGATATAGCCTCACAGCTTAGTAAAGAAAATAGAGGAGGTGAGTGTTAGTAAAGAGTGAATTTTTTAAATAGACTAAAATGTTCAGAGGCTCATTGATGTGCCAAACACATGGACAGAAAAAATCTTTCTGCTGATTTAAATATTAGAAAAATGTGGAAAATACATATCAGTTCACTCACAGAATATCAGAGTGATTTGAAAGTAACACACTGGTACTTTAGGTCAATTTTCAACACGAAGTACAATCATGGCTTCGTATCCTCTAGGCTAGAAGTTTGCTCTACTTGTCTGCAATTAGATGAACGATTAAAACACGTACAGCAAGGCAACGAAAAACAAGAGCTCATGACTAAAAAACGTATTTATAAATTATGTGTTAAGGCTTTTTTTGAATCACTAAAATGCACTGACCCAAAAATTTTGATTGTCAAAAATGTTCAGTTATTGTCAAAAAAACCTACCCTCGCGTTAATTACCAGATTAAGCCACTTACTATAGTAGTCAAATCTACCTTTACAATTTCACTGTGGTCAAACGGAATTCTAAAAGTAAACTGACTCCAGATAATGTGACATCCTACATTTGGACAGAAAACAAGTTTTAAAAAGGATCTAATGAAATTACTTCGTTTGTTTTTGATACACTTAAAAGAACAGAAATAAAAAGCCCTGTTACTACTGTGCGATTAGTGAGTGATGGATGTGGGGGCCAGAACAAAAATTCAATAGTCGTGGCCATAGCTTGTTTCTGGCTTTCTAAACATGCACCAAAAAATGTAAAAAGGGTGGAGTTCTTTTTTCTCATAACAGGTCATAGCTATCTTCCACCAGATCGAGTATTTGGAGTCTCAGAAAAGTTTATGAGAAAAAAAGAGGTGATTTACAAACCATCAGAGTACATTGATATTATAGCCGAAAGTAGTAAAGGTTGGCCAAGACTGTGACGACTTTAACTGGAAGAAAGAAAATGATGAAGTCTTATATTAGACTTGGGCGTGGATATTCTTCTGTATGATGAAGTCAGACTTGAGTGTGGCAAACTCCTTAACCAAGACAGGAAAACTGCTTTTCAACATGAACCCAAACTTGATTCCTTTGTCAAACTCGACGAAACCAGTGAAGAAAGTTGACGTCATCAACTTGTTGAAGAAACATTATGGAGACCATTGGAGGGACCATGAGGATTTACTCTTCTACAAAAATGTCATCGACGAGGCTAATGACAATGTAGAACCCGAGTCAGTGATGTGAACACATCGACATGACAAGAAGTCAATATTCTTAATGTTTAAGAATACGATATTCTAAACAGTGTAAAACAATCAAAGCAAGTCTGATTTACAAAAAAAATAACAATTAGTTTTAAAAAGTAAAACATCATAGCACTGTAAACTAAATTTAATGGTTTGTTAAAATTAAAACTGAAATAAAATTATTTATTTATTGTTTTTATTTCTAACCCACAAAAATCAACAATATAAATCACCTTATTTTATTTGGTTTTATTTTGTAATTTAAGGTTTTGGTTCAAAACTCACAGTTAACCAAATATTGGTACAAAACTCACATAGTCTGAATTTTAAATGAAATTTACAAAACAATGTTCATTAAATACTCCCATAAAGTAGGCAAACAGTTTCTAATACAACTAAGTTATTACACAAAAAAATTGAAGCACTATACCATTGCCTTCAATGTTAAACAGTTTTTCTCATTTTTCCGGAAGTTGAGAAACGTAGAAATGTGAATTTTGCATCTATACCATTCAAGTGAACGCCATTTCAAAATAGGAACTAAATAAAAATATTACTTAAATGTATGTTAACGCGGTTAAAACTTTAGTACTACAAAGATAAATCAGGTATTATATTATATTTAAAATAATATAATAGTATGCTCGTGAATACTAGAATATTGTACAAATATGAACAGATTTAAGTCCGATATAAAGGAAAAGTGGGTCGACTAAATAAGGATTGTGTCATATTTTCCTGCTATCTCATGATCCCATCTTTGGGGTGCGGAATCAAAATATACATAGTTGGTTCTTACATGTATCTTCCTGTACACTATTTACTAACTATAATTATTGATTTGTTTATTACTTAATTAAAGATTTATTTGAACGAGATTTATTTGAACCCGGATGGCAATATTATTGTTTCCGCCTAACTGATATTAAATCTGTTTTATTACGAATACCGACCAGCTAAGAATGTTTTGATTTCCCCTGTGTTTTCCTTTTATAACATCAAAGTTGTATTACACATCGCTGCGTTACTATGCCAATAGTGTTCATACAAAATTGCTGACTCTACAAGGTTGACTTAAAGTATACCGAAATGTTACAAAACAAGACTTACATTGTATTTAATATGTATGCTCCAGTTTTCTATTGAAACCCAATATTTATTGCGATATTATACACTCATGGACAAAAATATCAAATATTTTGGAATTTTCTAATTTTTGTTTTTTTCAAAATAACTTCTGATCAATCAAGTCATTTATTGTAAAATAGAGTTTATTTTAACAATGTTAAATAAAAAATTTTAAGTTTTTTATTAATCGATCCGTTTCATTATATTTAATTGGATTTTTTTTGAATGATTTTCTTTTATTCATTAATAGTAGTGTTTCTTCGGTCATCCAATCTTTATGTTTTCTATTCTTTGGTTTTAAGTTTTCATTTGCTGTTTTAATTATTGCTACTTTTATATTTTCCCATTTCTGATCAATGTTATAGCTACTTTTGTTCAGTTCTTGGGCATTACGTAGATTTTCAGTAAGAGTTTTTACAGTTTGTTTTTTTGTTTGTGGTTCCCTTAATCTCTTAATATCAATTCTACTGTGTGTGGGTTTTTTAACCAGTTTTAATTTGGTTCGTAATGTGACTACTATGAGACTATGGTCTGAACCGATGTCTGCTCCAGGGTAAGTTTTGGGAGACAGTATAGAATTACGAAATCTTTGTCTAATAAGGACAAAGTCAATTTGATTTCGGATTATTCCATTCGTTGTATCACCGGGAGATTTTCATGTAGACAATCTTCTTTTTGGTAGCTTAAAAAGTGTATTAGCTATTACAAATTCTTTCGTCTGGCAAAATTGTATCAAACGGTCACCACGTTCATTTATATTTCCTAGACCATATTCCCCCACATATTCATCCACTCTTCCCTGGCCAACTTTGGCATTGAAATCGCCCATTACTATTGTAGTGTGATGTTTCTTCATTGATTTTAAGACTTGTTTCAAATCATGGTAAAATAGTTCGATATTGTCGTCATCTTTATCTGCCGTAGGAGCATAAACTTGAATAAAATTTACTATACCTTTGTTAGACTGTAGTTGTATTGATAAGATCCTATCAGAATAAGGAGTAAAATTTATCACAGAGTAATTGACCTCTTTTGCAACTAAAATAGCAACACCGTAACGATGATTGACCTCGTTGTTACCTTAATAATACATGGTTCCATTATTTGTAATTTGTTTGCCTGAACCTGGCCACTGTACGTTACTTATACCTACAACATCAATTTGGAGGTTTTCCATTTCAAGCAGTATGTTCGCTAATTTACCACTTGCATATAAACTTCTGACATTCCAGGTTGCTATTTTCAATTTTACGTCATTGATTAATTCGGTATTTAATTTCGGATTCTCCCAAGCCGTTTTTATCAATGAGTGCACCTAAATATTTAAATTTTTCCACTTGTTTCATTTACACGTCCTTGTCTATCAACACTTCAAACCTTGCATCTGAATTGATAACTAAATATTCTGTTTTCTTCATGCTGACTGGTAACCTCCATTTTACATATTCTCTGTATAGACGATTTATCATAAATTCTAGATCATAAGAATATTGAGCTAGGAATCATTTATCAGTACGTCATTTCCTTTCAGGACTCCCATTCTCTGGAAGTGGTTTTTCCAATTTTGGAGGGCTATCTTAATATATAAATTAAACAGTAAAAGTTACATACTGCATCCTTGTCTTAGTCCTTTAGTTACTTTTATTGGCTCTGACTATTTCCGATTTTTAGGTAAGTAGTAATATTCCTGTATATTTCTGAGAATATTCGTATGTCTTCGAAGACGTGAGAGTAGGATTTACTGCCAGAGCCAAAACCCCTAACCCTTTCGTTGGGAAACGGGTGGATATTTTTAGTTTTATTGCAATATAAGAGTCGACATCTCATGTTACCTTCGAGTGTCCTACGTCCCTTTGAGAATACCTGCAAAAATAAGTGCCGTACAGTCAACATAAAGCAAGATAGATTCACCTATTTATCGGTTGAAGGATGTCACCATTATATACTGTGTAAAATAAAGAAGCTAAAATTGGACACTAAGGGACTCCACAGTTTGTTTGTTTGAGACAAAAATAAACGTTTGATTTGTTTGTCTGGTCCATCTTGTGCTTTAATTTAGAAAAGTCTCCTAATCCTTGTATTTATTTTAGATTTTAGGGAAGAAGAATTTTTTCTTTCTCAGAGCAGGAAGTTTTCTTCAAAGTGGCGCCCGGAAACATAAATAGCTAGAGGTAAATTTGTCTGCCATATCTTGTTCGTTTTTTTGACCCAGGAGATTTATGTAAGTATCCCTTTGTTTTCATTTAGTATATACCCCAATTCGACCCAATTTTATTTCAACTTATGTACGACCCAGCTCTCCAACAACCAACTAAGTGCCGTATGCATTTAGTTTGGATTTATTTTGTTTGTCCAATCTTTTACCCCATGTTCTTACCCTGAGGTAAGCAAAATATATTCGTTACAAAAGTGCATCCAATATGTTCGGAAAATGTTTAGAGACTGCTTCCAATAGTTGATATTATCTTTATATAATGTAAAGTCCAACAACGTAAGGTACGCTGATGATACTGTCATTTTTGCAGTCAGTCTCGAAGGTCTGCAGACATTGTCTCCATGGTGGCAGAAGTAAGTAGCAGGTTTGGGCTTGATTTAAACATCAAAAAAACTAAATACATGGTTATAAGCAAAAATAGGATACCACCTGGTCAGTTACTAGTTAACCAACAACCTATAACACAAATCACCAACTTTTGTTATTTGGGTGCAAACTTAAATTAACAGTGGGACCAATCGACAGAAATTAAGATAAGGATCGAGAAGGCAAGATCAGCTTTCGTCAAAATGAAAGAAATCTTTAACAGCCACGACATAAAATTGGAAATAAAAGTTCGTTTATTAAAATGCTACGTATTTTCTGTTCTTTTATATGGCGTCGAGTCATGGACCTTAACTGAAGCATCACTGAAGAGACTCGAAGCATTTGAGATGTGGTGCTATAGACGCATGTTGAGTATTTCCTGGATAGACAGAATTACTAACGAAGAAGTACTATATAGAATGGGTAAAGACCGCGAAGTAGTCGTAACCATAAAACGTCGCAAACTAGAATATCTAGGCCATATAATGCGCAATAAACAACGATATGACCTACTTCGGACTATACTTCAAGGTAAAGTGCATGGGAAAAGAGATCGAGGACGTATAAGAATATCCCGGCCTACGAAAATGGTTTAACTTAACCACTACCGGACTTTTCAGTGCAGCAGTCAACAAAGTCAGAATAGCCATGTTAGTGTCCAACATCCGTAACGGATAGGCACCATTAGAAGAAAATGTAAAGTCCCCTAGCTTTCCTTCTAGACTTTTCACGAACTTTTTAGCGATAGTCCTCTTAACTCTTCTGACTTTCTTTGCATTGAAGATTATAACTTCTATTTTCATCTAGACTAGTTAGTGGTCTGAGTCTATGTTTGCCTTATGTCTTACACACACGCTACTCGTCGCATAAATAGGATTTAAAACAAAAGAACATATAGTGAAAAGATGAAATAAAGTTAGAGAAAAATATTTATCACAATGAAAAAAAGATTTGGGTGACGTGAACAAAACTCAACAGGCCAGAATATGGACGCAGGTGATGAGTAAATTTAAATATTAACATTGTACTTATATAGGCCTTAAAAAAGCTAGTCACCATTTTAAAAATATTAAAAACCAAAAGTTTTTTTAAATAATAAATCAATAATTACCTTCCTCTTGGAATGGTGGCAATGGCATAAACGGCCCTCTTTGGCCTTCAATAAACGGTAATACGGCACTCACAATAACAACAGAAAACAAAGAGAAGATAAATTTCATATTTAACTTTTTTAGTTTAAATTTTAACACTGAATATTTAAAATAATTATCTATTTATAAACCAGGTATATATACCTTTTATGTTCATAAATTTCATAAATAAAAAAATTAATTAAGATAAGAATTATGATTATCAATTTTGTTAAACAAAACCATGAAAAACCCGATGTGGGAGTGTTTAAATTTAAAATTCGTTCCATAGAAGATCGATAAAATTGCTACATTGTACCTTGATAAGTAATTTTAATACTTGAAGGTTGATGGATTCGACCGTAACTTGATGGAAATTCATTTTATGTAACAATAAAACACTGAAAACTTTTTTTTCAAACTTCCACAAAATTTATTTTAACCTCTTACACTTTATAGTCCCTAATGAAATAAGTTAAGGAAAGGAGAACTATTTGTCTCAAGTTGGTCATTCAGAATTATATCTGTGTTTTTTAATTAGTTAATTTCCACAGATTCTAACAAGGATAGCTTAAGGCCTTTATTTTAAATGTGAAGATTTTTTTTACATTTTTGGCTTTATTAGAGGTAGATACATATGAAAAAAATAATACTTTAAGAAAAAACCTTTTTTACTACAAAAAAAATGGTGTTACGTATATGTAACGCTAGGCTCTTATGTAGACATTAACGAGAGTTTGTATGAAATATTACATTACACTCCAAACAAATGCCAACATCACATTTGTTGCACATAGTTCTGGTACTGGAAGCACAACCTTCTCCAGCACAACGTCTCCGCTTTTTGTCAGGAATGGTAGTTAGGAGATGGTTCATCTCATCATAGCGAAGTTCATCTGAAATTCTATTAAAAGAAATACTGGACCTTAAAATAGACGGTCTTCCACCTCCTTTAGGCTGATTTTGGTACATTTGGAGATAAGCCTGAGCTACAGTTCTACGAAACTCTAACTGAGATACATTGTGATGCTTTCTGTACAAAATCCAAGAGTTGTTCACAGCTGCATCTAAAAGCCATGTATGCTCCACCACCATCCCAATCTTATAACAAGCAATGTTTTCATCCATAACATCGGTACCACCCATGTTATTATTATATTCCTCTATTAATCTAGGACGAGGAACTTGTATGAATCTTTTTTGTGCTTGACTGTATCTTCTAACATTCGAAGTAGGCGAAACACCATGGCTACAAACCATGGATCCAACTGTAACCACGTTATTGCCTGTCCACTTTACAAACATTATTCCATGTGTTCTATCAAGAGCTGATACGTGCGAGCCCCTATCACTATTTTTTTTAGATTCTTTCTTGATTCTAAGGGACCGTTGTGTGGTAGCCTATCCTCCTTAAATGTACCAGTAGCTCCATAACGATTTAGTCTCAAAAAATTGAACAACGTGACACTAGTAAATAAATTGTCCAAATAGAATTTGTAACGCAGATCAGGATTTGGTACATTTTTACCAAACAGCTCAGGCACAGTCCATAATATTTAATCAGGATTCATCAAAATCAAAGTTTTGTACGGGCACAAACTGTTTCGAAAAATTGTCTTTCAATTTATTCATGAACGGTCTAAGTTTATACATTTTATTAGACACATCAATGGCATTATTGTCTGAGCAGTGCATAAACTTTAAAATTTGTATGAATCGGTCTCGTCTCATAGCTTCGCTGACAAGATTATTTTTCATATCTCCGAGTGAATCCCAGTAGTGTCTTTTTGAAGGTTTAACATCGCAACCGCTGACAAGCAAAATCCCTATAAAACATTTAATTTCTTCGGCTGTAATTAACGGATCAGGACAATTCTTGAAAGAATCATATTTAGTTGACTCGGTTTGTAATATACTAATTATATACTTATCAATAAATTGCTCGAACATATCCACACAAGACATTTCACGATATTTTTCATAATTTGGCGATAGAAATGGTATGGCATGATTATCTATGAGATCCCCATCTAAGGCCCATTGTATACTATCTTTGAGTTTTGTCTTATCTGGCAGTATAAATGTTGATTTTTTTTCGCGCCCATTCGATACTTGCTCCGTGGTTATATTGTCACCAGATGTACTGCAAGTTGGTTGATCTAAAGTAGAGTGGGAAGAAATTTTTGTTGAATCTGTGAATTTAATTTCGACTTGTGCTCTCAATTGACGGCCTCATAAATTATCTACAGTACCTCCAGTATCCTCGTCTCCAGAATCCTCGTCTGTCAAAACATGACTTTCCGGTGGTTCTATGAATATCTCCTCTACATAATCAATGTATGCCATTTCTAACGCTTCCTGAAGGGTGAAATTCCTTCTGAAATTAAAACAAAAAATTAGATCAAAACTGTCAATAAATAACTATAATGTTCATTTTCATATCTTTTTTAGCCATATATAATGAAAAATAAAATCAAAATCATCAAATTGTACTTTAAAAATTTTTTCTTCATAATAACCTAGCGTTACATATGTGTAACGCAAACAAAACACTGATTTTGCGTACGCCTAAAAACATTAGTTTTGAAAATTACCTAACCTAACATATACATAGAACTATTAGCAATAAAAATACATATATTATGTTGCATAAGTAAAGGAATTATCTTTATAATACTTACTCAAATCGTCCTCCGGTTTCCATTGAATCGGCCATGTTCACCAAAAATAAATCACATAAAACAAACAATATATTTATTCAAATTGTTCACACACAGCTGACCATAAACACAGTACTCGCTGTTAACTGACTTATCACACCATATACCTGCTAATATCCTAACTAAGGCCGCACAAGAGAATTTTGTAGGGGTCTACAAACGTTACATATATGAAACGCCAGGTCATAATGGGATATGTTGTATTGGATGGGATGGTGAATTATGTATAGTTGTGTCAGTATGGGTAGGTTTATAAAATATGGAGGAGTCATGTTTGTTTTTAAATCTGATAATTTTTAAATCTAAAAAAAATTTCCCTAGATTTTCACCTAAATTTACCATAAAAAATACAATAGAACTAGTTAATAAAATACAACATATTCAACTACATAACAATTTCAGATTAATTTCATTTGACGTAAAAAATTTTTTTCCTAGTATTCCTCCTACAATAACTTTTATTCTAGTAAAAAACCTTTTAGGCCAAAATAGTACAAATCCAAATAGAAGAAAAAGATAGAAGCATTTGAGTTGTGGATGTATCGTAGAATATTAAAAATACCCTGGACAGAGAAAGTAACAAATGTGGAGGTTTTGCGGAGAGTGCGGAAAGAGAAAGAGCTGATACTTACTGTTAAAAAGCGCAAACTACAATATTTGGGACATGTTATGAGGGGAAATAAATACCAGTTGCTGCAATTGATTATACAGGGAAAGATAATGGGAAAGAGATCTATAGGAAGAAGAAGGCATTCATGGTTAAAAAACTTGAGAGAATGGTAAAATTGCACCAATTACCAACTGTTTAGATCTGCAGCATCAAAAATACGCATAGCTTTGATGATAGCCAAACTTCGGAACGAAGACGGCACTTGAAGAAGAAGTACAAATTCAATAATTACATGTGAAATTTTACATCTTCTTGAAGTTTGCATAAACCAGGACTACTTTGAATTTAACAATCAAATATATACAAATAACCGTACAGGACTTATAATGGGCAATCCTCTAAGCTGATTGCTATCAGATATTTTTATCGATCATCTAGAGACAAAGATTTCAAAACATCCAGGTTTTATATTGTTGGAGATACGTAGACGATGTACTGGTATGTTTTACAGGAACAAGCAGGCAACTTGATCAACTTTTATTACTTAATTTTATATATAATTACAATTTTAATACTTTTTAATATTAATTATAGTTTAATGGTAAAAAAATGTTTTGCTATAGGAATGTAAAAAATTATTATGCATACACAAATTTTGAATTATGTTCGAGATGTAAAAGGTAAATAAATAAATTCGAAATACTTAACTTATAGAAAAGGATAGAAAAATGTTTTACTGTCACTAAAAAGTGTACCATTTTGTGGACAAAGCTTACAAAAAATTAGAAAAATAACAATAATATAAAATTTACTGAAATTACATAAATCGTCAATATCACAAAATACAAGATAATAAATAAATAATAAAATAAACAATGCAAAATTTACATAAATTTTAAATTGCTCTTTTGTATAAAACTTAAGAGGTCGCCAGCAACCATCTCGACATCCTTCTGTCATAATCACGCTATAAGTGATTCTCTTTGATCTAGTGCTCACAGGACACGGGTGTTTTAGGGCCTACCTTTATAGGATCGGTAAGGCTGATACAGATGAATGCCTATATTGTGGATACTCGGACACTGTGACACATACGATGTTAGATTGCAGCAGATGGATAGTGGAAAGGAACAGAATGGAGAGAGAGACAGGTGTGAATTTTGTTACAGTGAGAGAAATGATTGAGAGAATGATTGAAAATAAATTAGGTTGGATTAACATACACAGTTATATCCGTGCAGTGATCAAAAAAAGGAAGAGGAAGAAAGACAGCTGGACCAACGGCAAAGGTAGAGCGAATGATGCTGAAAGGTGAAGTTAAAACAATGGGTCACACTTTTTGAGTTAGAATGCGTGAGTTTGACTGTGGGGAAGGAGGAAATGCCTTTCTGAGAATGATGCCGAACTAGGAGTGTGGATGTGTATGAATGGAGAATGAATGAATAAAGGTAGTGCTTCGGAAGTGATGCCGGCCTTACAGCTGCCATTTCGCTTCCGGATCGCTGGATGACAGAGGAGGGTCTGGTTTAGCAGGTAGGCGTTCAGCATAGACTCGGCGACGAGAGGGCATTTTAAAGTACCTCGGGAACTATCGCCGGGAGTACGAAGAACGAATCCTGCACTAAGGTCAGTCAGGCGGTGTCCTGGACTGAGATGTCTTTTGAAGATTCCAGACCCCCCCTCTATAAAGACGAAAAAAAAAAAAAAAAAAAAAAAGGGAGCACGGAAGGAGCCTCCACGCAAGTGATATTATAAAAACAAAATGTCACTGACGCTCCAATCCTTCCACCACTGGATCCGAACCAA